GGTACCACATGCCCACGGCCTTCTTGCTTCAGAATATCAAGGCCTGATATTTTTCTTGAATTTTTACTGGAATGCTACTGCCCGAGTCTGTAAGTCACGAGATTTCATCTGCGGAATACGACTCTTGTATGTGGGTTGTGACTTTTGTCTGTGACTCCCCACTTGTTTTGTCTCTCTCCATGCCTTTCTGCCTGTCTGTCTGTCCATATCTGTTTGCGTGTCAGTCTGTCTTGTCTACCTTTCTGTCTTGTCTATCTCTCTTTCTCCGTACTTCTCCCTCYGTCTCACCCTGTGTTTTTGTGTCAGCTTGTCTGACTGTCTGTTTTTGTTCCTCTRCTTGTATCTRTCCGTGACTGCCCGTGTTCGTCTATGCCAGTTTGTATGACTGACTATCAGTCTGTGACTGTTTGTCTGTTTAGGTGTATGTCTATGTGTCTGTTTCTGTCTATGTATCTGTCTGTTCCTRTTGGTCTGTCTGTCTGTTTATACTTYTYTGTTTGTCTTGTCCAATTGTCTGATTGTCTGTTTGTCTGTCTGTTACTGTGTCTGGCTGTTTGTTTGGTGGCCTGCATTTGCCTGTCTGCTTTCTTATTTGTCTGTCTATGTCTGTATGCCTGCTTTGTGTTTGTCTGTCCGTTTTCTTGTATGGGTTGGTCCTTGTCCGTCCTCGTCCAGTCAAGCAAGTACCGCATGGGACTGTGTGCACTACGGACATGGGAAAGGGGACCAGTGAGCTGTTGTCGTATAAATCAAGAGGCAGCGCCCTGCCATTCATCCATTCCTGCGTGAGCCATCCGGAAGCGCTGCCACAACAACTTGTGCAAGGAGGTCTGCAGTGAGCCCGAAGGATGCAGTGGGCGAGAGAGAAGGAGCTTAGTGTAGTGATAGGGCAGAGGCAGTCATTCTTGCCACAGCTGTAGTAAGAGTGAAGTGTGTGTGTATGTGCAAGTGTTCAGAGTGACGCGTGTGGGATATCCAGGGTGATCCGGTGTATGTGAACAGTGAGTTGTTTGGGCGCTGAGTCGCCATACCCAATTGAAAACGAGCTCGTATCTGGATGCCATATCTCTTAGTTTTGTGTGGGTGAATGTCGCCAGCTTGCTGCGCTACTGTTTACATGCATAAAAAGTGTGAATGAAGGCAAGTCTGATTGTAAAATAATAAAAGAATAAAAGTAATAATAATAATAACAATAATATTAAGACTAATACTACTACTACTACTACTACTACTACTACTTACAATAATAATAAATATATATCAATCAATCAATAAGAATAATAATAAAAGAAATAATAAAATTAATTCAAATAAAAATTGTAGTGAAAACGAGTGATAGCGTACTTCAGAAATCAAACAGCATCATACATTTGAGACTAGATAGTCATGACATCGAACCAATAGCAGATTTGCATTACGAGATTCACCAAATAAGAACACACCAAGAGTTCATAATTGACAATGCTGAAATAGTCCCATCATCATCAACGAAGAACCAGAGTTGATATCCTATCTCGAGCTCGACGCCCAGACTAAATGTGGTATATCCTATATCTAGCCTATACTACGAAGCCAAAAGATGACGTTAACAGTATTCCCTAAGTACCAGCATATGGCGACCAATGCCGCACACTTCCAGCACCAGGTATGTCTCGCACTACACTCACAACCTTGTTCCCAACTCACAGATGCCACTAGCACCCAAGATCCACCATTCACCCCATCCAGCCTACTCTACCCGACTATCCTACCTACAGCTGTGTTCACACAACAGACTCACTATGACTGTCAACACCATAGCCGACCTCTCTTCACGTACCAGGTACGTATCTTCAGGTCATCATCATCATCATCCTTCTCTCTCTCCCTTTGTCTGTGTAATGAGTTAGTGAAACGCTGACGCAAACAGTTCATCGCAACCACTCATCTGTCGTCCTCTTCTCCCCTTCTGTCTACGGTTTACCGGGCAGACTATACATACGGTTTGACTATATATACACATATATACATATATTCAACACCTTTCTCTTCACTGCGCACATATCCCCTGCACGCCAGCGTATCTCCTTCCCCAAAGTGCGCATTCCTTTCTCCTGCCTCCTCTCTTCGCCATCCCGTTCTCACCACTTCCCGCCGATTGTTCAACTTGAACGGCTTCTCAAACCACCCGTTGTCGGGTTGCGATCAAGGGGCACAGGCACTCAGCCGTAGTCACGGCGAGGTGCATTTCAGAATAATAGAATATATAATAATAACTAAATAAAAAAAATAATCAATGAGGTAAAATAACAATAAATAAAATAGTAAAAACACCAATAGTATAAAACAATGTATACAAGCTATCTTTCCGGTCTGATACAGTCATGTCGAGAGTGCGTTGTTCTTGGAAATGGGAGCCTTACAGTGGTCTGAATGACCATCGTCCAACAGGCAAGTTTCTCTCATCCTTTCTCACGCTCTCTCTCTCTCACACACACACACACACACTATCGTAGTAATGTATTTTTCCACGTTCTGTCAATAGATTCGTTTTTGTTATTATTATTATTATTATTATTATTATTATTATTATTATTTTACGCTATCGATGAAAGTATCGTTAGGCTAGTCACGGGGTTGGAGACTTACCTGTTCTAACTTGTGTGCGGCATCTCCGAGAGTGCATCATGGGCACGACGGCACACAGCGCATTCCAATAAAAACGGGGCATGACGGGCATCGCGCATCACAACAAGTCGGCGATGACGGGCCCAAACTTCACTGCGCCATCATTGACTAAACGGGAGGGCGCACCTGCTGTCAGGTCAGTCGCCCTCTTCCCTTACTTTCTCCTCCTCCTTTCCTTCTTCTTCTTATTCTTCTGCTTCTTCTTCTTCTTCTCCTTCTCCTTCTCCTCTCCTCATCGCACGCCCGTTTCTTCAATCACCTGCGCGTGCAGTCCCACACGCTCTACTCCCACTCGCGCCCGCTTTCCATCTCTCTTTCGACGCTCTTTCCCTTGTCGTAGTCCAAACATGATGGTTCCCGCCGTAGCCATTGTTTCCCCCCACAGTAGTCGTCACCTTCGCCGCTTACTCCTCACCTTCTTCCTAGTTCCCTTTGTCGTTCTCTCCCTTGCTACCTTCCCGCTCCCATTCTCCATCTCCTCCTTCCTCCTCTCTCCTCCTTCTCCTTCTTCCTCGTCTTCTTCTTCGTTCGCCTTCTTCTTCTTCCGTCCTCTTCTTCTTCTTCTTCTCCTCCTTCCTTCTTCTTCTTCTTCTTCTTCTTCTTCTCCTCCTCCCTTCTTCTTATTCTTCTCGTTCGTGCACTTCCCTCTTTCCCGCGCGACCACCTCATTTCCTCCGCGCGGTGGCTTCTTTCGTGCTGCTCCGGGCGTTCTTCCTCTTCGACTTCGTGGTCGCGCCCCGTCTTTTTTTTCACCCCTGCGAAGTTTCCCTTTGAGTCGTCCGCAGGTTCGGCCAGGCATGGCTCACAGGCAGTGCCTGTTTCTTCGAGACTGAATTCGTCCGTGATTTCAGTGTAGATTTGTCCATACGAATCTTATAGTAATGAGCTCGGCATAAGCGAAAAATAAATAAAGAAATAACAATAATACAAGAATCTAACTATAACAAAAAAACAAAAAAATAAAAAAAGGAAAAATAACTAAATACTAACAAACTAATTGACTGCTCACGCCAATTGTCATGCACAAGCACGACAGAATCTAGTTGCTCCAACTAACTACTAACTCCTAATAACCAGGGCACAGGATCGAACCCAGGCCGATCGAGCCTGGGTGAAGGTATAGAGGAGCTCCTTGCAAAAAGGAGCTAGCTTCAGCGTTTGGGTGGACTCGAACCCTACACCCTATGCTTGACAGTCCTACACCTTAAGCTATTGAGCTATCTCCCACTTCGAGTAGAAGGGGAGCAGCTTAGATCATAAACAGAAGTGGGGCTCAGTCCGACCAGTGGACTGAGCCCTTTTTTCTTAAGTCAGTGTGTGTGCTTTCTTGCTGGCCCGCAAGCCTATATGATTGCTTGTCGGCTTGAGTGCATGCGTGACCCGCAATGGCACTTGATTCACCTGTTGGCCCAAAGAGCCGGTATTTGCCTGCGGCCGTAACACTGAGGGTTGCGGTAGGGAAAACACTCAAGTAGCGGGTATGTCAGTATCACACCAGTAGAGGTAGATGTACGCGGCACCTGAGGTTGAGCAGAAGAAAACAAAAGTTGGCATTCTTATAGGCCCAACACCGGTAGATAGGCGGATACCAGTTCAAGTAGCGTGACTCTAGACCCGGTGCGGACGATATCAGAGGTTGTGGCGGTGTCTCCCTCTGTAAAGGAATGAAGGCACCAGTTCTTTTGGGTGGCCACGAAGTTACCACTCGAGAGGCGACTTCCTCTCTACATACAAGAGGCGAAGCGGTAACCTCAACCTTGGTCACTACATACGTGTACTGACTGCCGCCACCTATTATGGTCGGCAGTGTATTTCTTTTGGCTGCCCCGGCTGCATGGTCGGGGTTGTATTAATTTTTCAGTTGACTTTAGATTTTACGACGACGCGACCTGCCGACTTCCCTATATCCGCCGGTCCGACGCCCCGTCACTCATTCAAATTCGTTTTTCCCTTACCGCCTGAACGTTTGACTGATTTAGATCGTGGTCGACGCATCCCGCGCGATCTTCTCTCGTTTTTTGCCAACCCTCCGGCCCTCGCGGCCGAAGACTTTTAATTTTTACTAACCCTTACCTGTTGTCGTATGCGTCTTGTCACTGCATATGATCGCCTAAAAATCTCTGCCTCAATGGTCGAGAAGTTCGCTTCACATCGCCAAGCCAAAAAAATTATCACTTTCTACTCCAGACTGTCTCCGGCACGGCGACCGGCATCGATACTCTATCAAATGCAAAATCATGAGCAAATACCCTTGTAAGGGTGTTTGCTCCGACAGTCTTGTCGGACCCCATTCAGCGAAGTGCCCGTCGCTGGGGAACCTAAATGCAAACAAAGGCCTTTTGACGCGACAAGTTGTCAAAATCTGATTTCCTGGATGAAGTTGCGGTTTCAAGACCCTCACTGTCTCCCTTGGTGCGTCCATACTGCCAAAATTTTAACCTCGGTCTACCACATACCTTGAAAAAATTGTAATATCAAAGAAATATTATTCCATGTGACTCAAAGTGAGGATACTGGATCTGTACTACAATTACAGAGGTCACCAAGGAAGATAATGATAGCCTCTCCCCTCAACTTTAGACTTTATTTGCCAAGATCTCGTTGGTTGTCCGAGGAGTTAAGAATCAAAGTTGAGTCCTACTCTTTGGACGCGGGTCTTAACCTAAGTCATATTTTTTCGTTCCACCCGAAGTCTAATGCGAGGGGATCGGCGACCTCGGTCTTAACCCACCACAGTCGGTTGATCAGGCCGGATATGCGGCCCACCGTTTTGTTAATTTAATGGTGGTACCTGCATTGGTTACGCAACACAGGATAAATATCTCCTATCAAAATATCTAGACCTGACTCTCGATCCCTCCGATATCTACCTGAACTGATACTATCATTAGGGAGTCTCTCCCTCAAGTTTAGTCCCAGGCCGTAATCGAAAGGCCCGCTGCCTGGTTATACTTGGTCAGCAGCCCACGCTAGGAGTTACGTCTCAATGATGCCAATTTTCCACCATAGGCTTGGTAATTTTAAGTCCCTCAGACTGACCTCCATAAGTCGATGAGCGATGATCATTTTAAAATATACATATGAAAAATCAATTTGACCAAAGAATTTTTTTCTCCCCTCGTCAGTTGTCTTTGAATGGGTGAACAATCCCATTGAATGTATATATGAAAGACAACAATTTCATCAATA